TATTATTATTATTATTATTATTATTATTATTATTATTATTATTATTATTATTATTATTATTATTATTATTGTTATTGTTATTATTATTATTATTATTATTATTATTATTATTATTATTATTATTATTTATACTTTTCCCAGGTCCTGCAAAGTTCTCAGTCAAACCCATTTCAATAAAGGCTAACCTTTATGATGCAGTTAACCTTACTTGTGATGTGTCTTATTCAAATGACTGGCAGTGGTATAAAGATGATGTCCAACTTTCATATACGAACAATAAATATCTTGTAACAGTTACAGCAACAATTGAAAATCAAGGTTACTATTCTTGTAGTGGATTTGGAGTAGGACCTTACACTAGTGCACTATTTGAATCAAACATGGTTCTGTTAGTTATAAAAGGTAAGTGTTTTCATATAGTATTTAACGGCTAGACATTTTAAACGTTTTTTAAAAAGCTCCTTTTTTGTTGTGTTTTTGGTTCTTCGATGATGTTTTTAAATACAGGACTTGTCTGTAATTATTCATTATGCGACTAGACAGTGAGCCTACTTGTATGTTCCTAAAGAGCCGATTTAATGTGTAGGCCAACACACAGAGTTCATGAAGTTTTTTTTATATAACCAAATGTACTGGCCTACAGCCTCAGCCACACATAGAAAAAAAGTAAGAAAATCTGTCGGTAAATCATAAATATTATGCTTCCATTTCCATTCCATATACAGTACATTATTTGTTGATTTTTTTTCTGTATGCTTATCAAGACATACCCAGTTACATGTTTGTGTTGAGCAATAATATTGTTCATATAAAGGTTGTTTAATGCTCAAAACAATGCTTAATAATTATGTTTTATAATAAGATTGGTAATCTAGAAACATTTAATGACATCAATTTCCGTATTTTTAACATTTTTTCTTTGTTTTTTATTACAAAACATTTCATCATAATTTGTTCCTAACCAACACAGATATTTATATATTTCCTGCGTCTTTGACATTTAATCGTGACTTTTAAAAAGATCTTAATGATCCATCATCAACAGCTTTCAAAAATCAGTCATCTGATATTACTGATTTTGTAAGTGTAGTAAAACGTTTACAGCACATTTTGCATACTAACATATTTGATTACAATAGAAATACTCAGTTTAATCGTAATAAAGAAGAAAACTAAATTATATTCTGTAACAGAGGTTAAATATTCACTGATATTATCTAACTAATATGTACGGTATAATGTGATGCGCCTAAGATACCTAAACTAATTTTTTTAAACAATTACTGCCAGATAAGTAATTTGATTGTGTTCATGGGATTCAGAAAAGCTTTGCCAAGTTCATATTCAATCCGATTTTTAGATAATAAACTTAAAATTCTTTTCACCTTTTTCTTTTTTGTATTTTGTAAGACGCACCAGTGACTGTGAGTGCCACCGAAACGAAGGTGAAGTGTCATAAATAAATTTAAATAAAAATTAACTTGTCTAATAAAACAAAAAAAAGTTTACTGACAATACACAACAAAACGGGATAGTGGATGTATTTTTTAATAAGTTTAAATGTTATGCAGATTGTAAAACGTAAGAGTAGCGGAGGGATCAATGCATTAGCTGTAGATTCACATCACATACTGAAAAACAGAGCAACAATTGCCTATTATTGCACATACTTTAGCCTTAATTGCATGGCAGAATATAACTATAAACTTTGTGTCGGAACTGTATTTACAAAATGCTCATATTAATTTATGCTTATCTTCCAGTTCAGCAGCAGTCTGTCATTAAATGATGAGATAATAAAACAAGTACGTAGCTTCTCTCCTGGTAGTATAATTGCTTATGTCAATTTCAACGTGCTAAACACACACAGTTCTTATGATGACTTTTTGGAAATTCTAACCCAAGAAATAATCAGAATCGGGGAAAACTCAGATGGATATTTGTTTCCTGATAGCATCGTGATAAGCAGCACAGGTACATAAATAT